TAGAGGAGAAACAATAATGTACAGTATGTGGAAAATAATGTGTTTTTTTAACCTTAAACCGCATAAACACATTTCATTACACCAAATACACAAAATAATGTTCTTTTTAGCAACATCATATGACCTCTTTAATGCTAAATTTCTCCAAATCTGTTTCCATGAAGAAACAAGTTCATCTACTTGAACTATCTATTCCCTTCTATGTAAAGGGCTTTGAGTGCCCAGAAAAGCGCTATATAAATGTAAGGAATTATTATTAATTATTAGGGATTTACATTAAAACAACAACAGCAACAACATATTGTGTGAATTAGGTACTTTTTTATTGACGTGAAATTGTAGCAAAAATGTCACTTTTTGTTTTGTTGTGTATTGTTGTGACAATTATTATTATTATTATTATTATTATCTACATCTTGGATGGTCTGAGGGTGTGGAAATGTTCAGCAAATGTTCATTTTTAGGTGAACTGTTAATTGAACAGCAGTTATCTGCAGGTTTCAGTTCTGTTGGTTCACATGCCAACTTACCAGCAATGCTACTCCTCTTGTTGAGGCCACTGCTGTCACTTGCAGAATCTTTGCTTCCCTTTGTGTATGGCACATCATCTGAAACATGAAATGATCAAATAAATTATGATAATAAATTACAAAGGCAGTTTACTGAATAATCAGACTTGGATTGATTGCTTTTGATAACATTTAGAATTAAAAAACAAAAACAAAAAAACATATAATTTAGGTATGCAACACACACTTTTTATGATCCAACAGTGAAAAAATACTTAGCCTAAATTTAAGATTTATGTATTTGAATTGCATATCAAAATTGCCATCCATTTGGATTACACAGTTTTAATATAAACTAATGTAATGTGATCTGTCAGTCATACATAAATGAAACAGGTAAGATTTCTGTGACAGTACTAATAATCAAATAATAATAAATACATAACCAGCTTCATATATTTATCATCAATAAATCCATTTTTTTTCAATCTCATACATTTTAACTAACTGAATATTACTTGTTCCACAGCTAGCCATATTTTAACCAGGTTCATATACTGTATTTTAACTGAATAAATGTAATGGTTTTAAAAATGAACAGATTTATGCTGAATCTCAGCTATTTGAATAAATGCATTTTAAAAATATTATTTAAATAAAGTCAATGCAAAAATGTAAATAGTTAATAATAAATTATGGCACGACTTTTTGAGTGCATAATCTTACGCGTGTCATTTATGTATGACTGACAAATATGCATCACATTACGTTTATTAGTTTATGTAAAAACTGTGCAATCCAAATGGATGGAAATTTTATATGCAATTAAAAATTATGTAACAGGAATTGATTCACTCCAAAAACTAAAAATGTAGGCCTAAATGTAAGTCCTCGCCTATGTTATTATTAAATATCCAATTTCATTTGGAAAGATACATTATGGAAGTACAGGTTGCGAATACGTTTTTCAGCAACATTCAGATACTAGAATGGTTCCACTGGAGCAACCTAAAATGATGCTGAAAGCTCAAGGCTTGTCACTTAGTGGTTTTGAACTTAACATCCTTTCAGTTTCCAGTCCAGATCTAGAAAGTTCACTAGAACAGCATTTATTTGAAATAGAAATATTTTGTATCATTATAAATGTCTTTACTGTCACTCATCCTTGCTGAATAAAAATGTTGATTTTATTTTACAAAAAATATTACTGACCTCAAGCTGTGTTGAAATTGAAAATAATAAGAACTTGATGTAGAGGAAATTTGTGTGCTTCTCAACAAATAAAGGTCAACCAATCCCAATGTGTTAGTCATCTCCTTTTGGTCAGTAAAGATGGTTCAGCTGCCCTTTAGGCCAAAAGACCAAACAATTAAACCAACATCACCCGGACTGTTTGTTTAAAATGTCAAAGGCTCAAAACATCACACCACTGCTTTAACACTCAACAAACAGCACATCTAGAGTATTCAGTAATTGTTATATAACTCACACACACAGCAGCTTCTTTGAAAGTCACAACAGAGTAAAACTGTCACTATGGGTCATGATAACTCATTTTCCAAGTCTATTAAAACTCTGAAACTAATTTGGAGCAAAGCACTCCGACGGCCCTGGTTGTGTTGACACCAATCCTGATGTAGGTTAAACAGAATGATGTTCTAACAATGCACATGGAAGCTCAGGGCCTATTTTCAGACCTGGGTTTTTATTTATAGAGGCCACAGTGACTCCAGTTGTCATCCCTCGCTCATCTCTCAACAGGTTTTTCCATTTACCAGCAGGGCTGGAGCTAAAAACCACACGGCCCAGGACAAAATGTTACGGCTGGGCCTTCTTTACCCTGGCCAAATAGGTAGACAGTTTCATAGAGGAACTGTCAGACTCTGTCCCGTGTTTTGTGCTTCCTTATGCCCTTATTTGGTTCCTTCCTGTTCCTATGCCCATTGTGTTGATTTGATTCCAGGTGTTCCCTGTTTATTTCCATTGATCCCAGGTGTGTCTCGTCATCCCCTCGTCTTGTCATGTGTTTAAATAGTGTTCCCTGTTCTTAGTTCAGTGTCCGGTATTGTTCATGTCAACCTGTGCTACATGAGTTTTCCTTGATGTCATTAAAATCCTCTCAATTGATGTACTCCTCGTCTCCTTCGTTCCTCGCTCCGCACTCCTCTCAGTAGTGGAACCGTGACAGAATACCGGCCCAAAACTAAAAGTAACCGGCGTCTTTTTCCCCGTGTTTGTTTTCCGCCTTTTTTAATAGTTTTTGTTTTCCCATTTTTCCCCGCGGCATGGAAACCTCCGCACGTTTCGCCACTCCGAAGACGAGCCAGCCGGCCCCGGCTCACTCAAGCCGGCTCACTCTGCCGGCCGCCATTGACCCAAGCCCACCGGTCACCGCAACGACAAGCCTGCCGGCTGCCCAGTTCACCCGTAATCAGAAGAGGAGGAAGAGGAGAAATGACTGGCTCAGGGCCCTCTTCGTAAGCGCTTCCCAGTTCCTGAGTCTAGCCCAGTGAGGGCTCCTGTTCCCGAGTCTAGCCCAGGGAGGGCTCCAATCCCCCGTTGAGCCCAGGGAGGGCTCCAGTCTCCGGTTATGGCCCACGGAGGGTCTCGGAGCCTGTAATCTTCCCCAAGTATTTTTTGGGGCTGTGGCCTTGGCCTCGGAGGCTGCTCTGCCATGGCCTCCCGAGCGGCCTGCTCCTCCGTGGCGCCCCGAGCTGCCAGATCCGCCATGGCGCCCAGAGCTGCCAGATCCGCCATGGCGCACCGAGCTGCCAGATCCGCCATGGGTCCCTGAACGGGCGCCGCACTGGAGGCCTTCAGTCCGGTAACTCTGCTCCTAGAGGCCTCCAGAGCGCCCACCCCCCCCTCCCCATTGGATGTTGTATGGCGCGGGACGCGCCTTCCGGGAGGGGGGAGTTATGTCAGACTCTGTCCCGTGTTTTGTGCTTCCTTATGCCCTTATTTGGTACCTTCCTGTTCATGTCCCCATTGTGTTGATTTGATTCCAGGTGTTCCCAGTTTATTTCCATTGATCCCAGGTATGTCTCGTCATCCACTCGTCTTGTCATGTGTTTAAATAGTGTTCCCTGTTCTTAGTTCAGCGTCCGGTATTGTTCATGTCGATACGTGACTATACAGCTACGTGAGTTTTCCTTGATTTCATTAAAATTCTCTCGATTGATGTACTCCTCGTCTCCATCGTTCCTCGCTCCGCACTCCTCTCAGTAGTGCAACCGTGACAGGAACATAGTGGACCCTATTTGTCATAGGGCCTGGGCGACAACCTGTTCAACACATTCTCTGGCAAAAATGACATTATTAATGTTTTGTTTTAAAGAAAAAGTATGATAAATAACTTTTTTTTTTTGCTGTATATGAAGAAGAACCCTAACCATAAGGATCTGATTAACTTGAACTGTACAAGACAAAAGCAATTGGAACATAGTGGACCCTATTTGTCACAGGGCCTGGGCGACAACCTGTTCAACACATTCTCTGGCAAAAATTACATTATTAATGTTTTGTTTTAAAGAAAAAGTATGATAAATAAAAAAATTTTTTTGCTGTATATGAAGAAGAACCCTAACCATAAGGATCTGATTAACTTGAACTGTACAAGACAAAAGCAATTCGAAGGGTACACGAGCATAAAAGTACCAAAAATAATATTGTTTTGGACTGTGCTAGTACCATGCTACTCTTTGAACTATCTTGGAATATAATGTAAATACCGTATATATATATATATATATATATACTGTGTATATGGGTCAAAGACGGGACGTCAACATTTTGGTGTCCGCATCAAATTAAGCTTACAAAAGTAATTTTATATACATAAAAGACATGTTAAATGCAAGTAAAGAGTCTACTTTCATATTTCAAATAACTTTGGTGAAAATAAAATGTCTAAATATGGGGGAAATAATGTTCCAAAGTGAAAAATTGTCATTCAGTGTAATGGTCCGGACTTTGATTTTACCATTACATCTTTAAATAAACATAAAATACCAAGTTTAAAAATACACTGGTTGTCTTGGCATTTTCAAGTAAGTGTTGGCTGTGTTATATTAAAAGGACTGTCTTATTGTTTTTTTAAAGTTATGAAATAACCAGGGGACTTTTGTCCCGAAAATGCAGTTTGTCAGAGGTCATTTTGTGTAACAGGAACAAGAAGCCATTCTGAAATCAAACAAAAAACTGAGTCATTCAGCAGTCTGTGACATCATCAGATGGCACCCTGAAGACCGTGTGGTGCTGCAGAAAAGTGAGTTTATTGCTCTTAAATATTTGATAATTCCACCTTTTCATGGTGTGGTATCCGAAGTTACAAAAACACGTCATTCAGTGAAATGCCAAAAAACACATTTATTGTTAGATTTTTTTGAAAAAATAGATGTTGTGAATAATTGTGATTAACTTTACTAGCCAAGCTCACTGTTTGATAGAGGTAGCCATTTGATTACCTGCAATATTAGCCGAAGTAGAAGTTTTGTCATTCAGGGTAATGCTTTTGTCATGTGGTGTAATGCAAATTCTCTGTTACACCACAGTGTCATCCATTACACTGAATGACAGTATCACTGTAGAAATAACAATTTTAGCATCTTATTTATATTATGGATAAATGTTTAACATTGACAAATATGTGTTAAACTTAATAAATATTTATATTTGAATGCATTTTTGTATTGATTAATTTGTTATTGATTAATTTTAGATGGCCACGAACAGGGAGAGATGCTAGGCACTGTAAAAAGCCAAAAAACTAATAAAATAAGTGTGGACTCAGTAGCTTGGGTGGCACTCTTAATGCCCATTCTCACCAAGAACAATAACTATAATAAAGATAACTATAACAGTAACTATGCTAGCCTCCACAACAATGAATGATATTACTGTTCGTTCTAAGAATGCTCTGCAGGTTTATCATCTGCCGCTTTAAATGCTCAGGATCTTTAAAGTGGAATGGATTCTGATTGGCTGTCAATGCTTTTATCATTCATCAGCTGTAAAAAAAATATATATATAAAATCGCTCTGTGATTCCAATAATATAATTTCTCTGTCCAGTTATTGTTAGTTGTGCTGTGGAATCTG